GTGGAATTTTACGTGGGAAATTTTTGGTTCGGGAAAGGGATAGGACAAGAAGCTGAAATTGTTGCAGGATGTTCCCCCTTCATTTGCGAACCGACAAATTCAAATCTAGCTCTCATGAATGCCTGTTTCATCTAGGGAGCATGAATTTTCTACTTTTTTACGCATACCAAACTACAAAGCAGGGAATATTCTTAGCAGTGACCGGTCGCCAGGCAGAACTGGACTAAACGCATAACCGCACCAGCCACCCTGGCGCGTGTTGCTATTTATATCTATAGTTGCCGGAAAAGGTGTTCCTTTGACAATGCTGCCTGGATTGGTCCTTGCTTACCGCCATTCCTTGGCTCTGTTTTGGCGGCTTACTGGTTTAATAGAGCTGTAGAAACGTTGTCTCAGCTTCCTATCTTGTCCGCCTCCAGAAGTCGTTTTTCCGCCAAAGCGTTACAACTTTGGTTCCAGTACCCGAAAGACAGTAAAAGGCGCACATATATCGAATAGGTTGCGTGTATTGACTGGAGGCATGCTGTTCAAGATCGAAGGGCCTGACACAGCAATGCCCATCATTTCAGCAGTGAAAACTCGAACGGAGGCACTGGAAGTAGTCTCACTTTTGCCATTATCAGCCTTGCTAATAAGGCTGTCAACAGGACGCTCTTCTAAGGGCTGCTTGAGAAGCAAACTGTTGGCGACTTGACTGTCTCGGATGTTGCATTCGCCTGAGTCTGCCTACCGTCTAATCGATTCCTAGGAATATCGATGGAATGGAGAGATGACTCAGATCTAGTAGCAGACACCGTTTCCCGCCGTATTAAACTCATAAACGATATGAAGCAGTTCCTTTTTGGCGGGACGGGTATTCGATGTGCTTGCTGCAGCCAGAACAAAGCACGTATTTCTGGATTAGGACCGGTATAAGTAACCTTCTACATCCTGACCCCACACCAAATACTGTATAACCATCGACGATTTCTGAGAGGGATGGATGGCCAGCATTCGCGTCGCAATTATTTTTACGAGTAGCGGTTCTCATCATGTCTCACTTAGGCGTCTGCTGTGGTACGATTGCCTATTGCTGTCTTGCTACGACTTCTATCATTTCTACTGTGTATGCGGGTATCTCATATTTCTCACAACAGCAAAACTATATATATACGGTGGCTACAGCGTACGATAGTTCTAACAGTATTCTATGTTGAAATGAGCACTCATTAAAGAAGAGCGACAGTATCACATACAAAACTTTCCTCAAATATTTTAGGGGAGAGATGTACGGAAGGAAAAGTACATTACCATATATATATGTATGGTGGTATATATATATGCAGAAGGAATTAGGAAAATTTGCTAGCCACGCTACTTTAGCGCTTTTTAAATGTGCATGCCTCTGGCAATTTAAAAGCAGGCACACTGGAGGGACGTTGTGGGTTCTCCGGATTTCACAAGTGTCTCATTTATCTGTGAATTGGGATTATTCAATTTATGAGTCGTAGAGGGGAGATAAAGGCAAAATTCACCGATAAGAGGATACCCTTTCTGGAAGTGAGTTTAACATAGCTTCTTTGTCTGTAAACAATTCCTTAAATCCAAAGGAAGTTTCAGTGTTGAATCCACCAAAAGCGTGTTCATTCTCGACGAACCCCCACGAACATTTACACATGTCGCTTTTAGTGGATATCACTTGATTTTATTCTGTTTTTGCGGTGTTTCCGTCGTTGGGAAGTTTTACCCACCTCACTGCTGCAACATTCCATCCAGCGAATATAATTTCGTGTGTAAACTAGAAAAGTCCATTTAAACGTTGCCACTGATTTTGAACCTTTACTGAATAACATCGTAATACAGTGATTATTATTTTATAAAGACGTAACAAATCATGACAGAGTCTCTGCATGTCAATTGCTGGCTTTCAAAAACTGCATGGTGTGGTCATTGTCACTCTTACTGACCCCTATTACACATCAGCAAGTGGGATTCTCAAATGTGGCCAACTGGGAATTACTGTATTCTACTAGGCATGAAAGCCGTGCCAGATAATGTAACAGTAGTGAAAATAACTTCAGTGAATTTCTTGCCAAAATTGACGGCACGACTCGCATAATCGGTGTAGGATCTGATGCTACTGGGTTGCTTCCATACTCCGAGCACAGTTATGTCAGGCTTTCGTTTTAAGCAGTCCCTCTCAGAAACTGCATCTCCCATCACGCCCGGTTTGTGGAAGCATCCCGGTAATATCACTAACATGGAAGCCCCACAACAACTGTCCCATTATTGTATAAAACACAATAGTATCTGGATGTGTGCATTTTTAGTGAAAATCCACGCTCCCGCTTAATTAATGTATATTTGATACCAGTATTCACTAGCTTATTAATACGAAATAACAGAGCAGAGCGGAACAAGTAGAGGAAGGAGCGGGTGGTTCATATTCACAAATACCACCACACTCCTAACAGCAGCAGGCGATGTGATGAAAAAGAGAGGCTAACTGACAGTCATATGCAGCTCATAACCAATTACTGAAATGAAACAGAGCAGATGAAAACCGGATAGCTGATAAAATGAATGAAAGAATCCATACTGATACACCGAGTACAAAATTTGGTCAGTCCTCCTGCACAGAGTTCCTAAAAGCAATAACGACTATGAAGATAAAATGCCATTTATCGGCCATCACAGCTACTTGTCCTGTTCTCTTATTGTTCAAAATTCGATGATATCGTTCTAAACACAAATGGTAGCGCATCCTAGAGATATGCTAAAGGGTTCAAAAATTAAAACGGCAGAATCCCCTGGATGTTGGGGAGAAACCATCAAAAACAGTAACAAGATAGAAGAGGTTTCTCTGAGCTCTGAGTTCGTATGATTTAGGGTGCTTGCTAGGATTTCATCACTTTGTCTTACTGTTGTGCTGTGTAGTCTCAGTAAGCGCGCAAATACATTTTTTGAGCTAAACTTGGGAATTGTTCGTGCAGCGAATACACATATTCACGGTCAGGAAGATGCCTACCCATAATATGAAGTTGCTTTGAAAATAAGATAAGCTTAAGTTGCGAGAAATTGTTCCGCGTTCTCCACAAAACGCTGATCCAAATACGAAATCTGAAAAAAAAAAAACATAACGGTTTACGTTATGCTATCCATCCGCAACGAGCAATCGGTAATGATTAAAACATAATATGGATTAGTGGCATGTGTATGCAAGATTTAGTTATTTAACAAGAGTCAAGTGGTTGTTTTTGAACTCCAAAAATAGCCCTGCTGCATCCGGAGACCTGTGCGCTTGAGATTTTCATGCATGTAACTCCTAATGACAGAAATCATCTTACGAATATTAGCCATTAATGGAGCAGCGAAGCTTGGAAGTAAGTGAATTATAAAAGACTGGCTCATCAGTTAACGCCAAGGACGTGTCGTACTCGGTATACGCACGCCGGAAGGTCCAAGAAAAGAAGCAAAGAAACACCAAATGATGCTGCATTTGATCAGAGGAGACACAGAGAGATCATTACCTGCCCTGACGGTATGAAGAGGCGCTACGATAAAACAAGAGATAACTGTGCTTGCGCTAGTTGTAATTCACAGTCTGGTCCTCCAACCCTGCAGCTAACTTCAGTTGTTTTGACTACTGCTGCATCTCCGGGTGGTCAGCCTGTTGGTAGTCTG